CCTTTCGGGGGCTGCGGGGCCGCCGGGGGGGGGTCGTGGGGGGTCTGGGGGACCCCCAGTAACGACCCCCCCCAGTTCGGCGGCTCCGACAGCTACCGCGTGGCCACCACGCAGGACAAGGGGGGCGACAAGGAGTCCCCCAAAAAGGGCAAGAGCAAGACCCGGGACCTCGATGACCTCAAGAAGGAGGTGGCCATGGTGAGTGGGGGAGGGGGTTTGGGGGGGATTTGGGGTGAAATGGGGGGATTTGCGGGGATTTCGGAGGCGATTTGGGGGAGATTTTGGAATTTTGGGGAGGTTTGAGGGGGTTGGGGGGAGAATTTGGGGTGAATTTGGGGGGGGGTTTTGTGGGATTTGGGGGAGGTTCAGGGGGGATTCGGGGGTTTTGGGGAGGTTTGAAGGGGTCCGGGCTCATTTCGGGGTCAATTTTGGGATGACCCGAGAGGATTTCGGGACAATTTCGGGCTCGGGGGTCGCTTTTAGGGGGGGAATTTTCAAGGATTTTGGGATTCCGGGAGCCCGGTCGGGTCCGGAATTTTGGGGAGGGGTCCCGGAATTTTGGGGAGGGGTCCCGGAATTTTGGGCTCCTCTCCCCCACCCCCGCAGACCGAGCACAAGATGTCGATCGAGGAGGTCTGCAGGAAATACAACACCGACTGCGTCCAGGTAAGTTTTTTTTTTGGGGGGGAAAAATCCGGGAGATTTTGGGGATCCCGGGAACTTTGGGGATTCTGGGAATTCCTGGCTGCCCCCCACCCTCTTTTCCCGTCCTTTCGGGAGCTTTTCTTGCTGATTTTTGGGCGTTTTTAGGTCATTTTCCCTTCATTTTTCACCGTTTCTTCGCGGAATCTCCTCGGAATTTCGGGAAATCCCGGCTTTCCGCCAATCCCGGGATTTTCTCCCCCCTCCCCAGGGTCTGACCCACAGCAAGGCCCAGGAGATCCTGGCCCGGGACGGTCCCAACGCGCTGACGCCCCCTCCCACCACCCCCGAGTGGGTCAAGTTCTGCCGGCAGCTCTTCGGGGGCTTCTCCATCCTCCTGTGGATCGGCGCCATCCTCTGTTTCCTGGCCTACGGCATCCAGGCGGGGACCGAGGACGAACCTTCCAACGACAACGTGAGAGCCCCGGCAAAATAAACCGGATTTTGGGGTTTTTTTTTTGGGGTTTTTTGGGTTTTTTTTCGGGTTTTTTTCGGGTTTTTTTCGGGTTTTTTTCGGTTTTTTATTTTTATTTTCGGGGGATTTTTGGGAGGTTTCTTCTGGGGTTTTTTGGGGTTTTTTTTTTTTATTTATTTTTTGGGGGATTTTTTTGGGGTTTCTGGTGGGTTTTTTGGGGATTTTTTAAAAATTTTTTATGGGTTTTGGGGGTTTTTTTTGAGATTTTTTGAGGGAATTTTTTAGGGGTTTTTTTTTTTTTGAGATTTTGGGGGGGTTTTTCTTGACCTTTGAAAAGTGGGAAAATGTGAATTTTGGGTGGAGGTTTGGAGGTTTTTTTTTGGAGGGGTAAAAAGACCCCAAAAATGACCCCCAAATCCCGATTTTTTGGGGTCCCCCAGCTGTACCTGGGCATCGTTTTGGCCGCTGTCGTCATCATCACCGGCTGCTTCTCCTACTACCAGGAGGCCAAGAGCTCCAAAATCATGGAATCCTTCAAAAATATGGTGCCCCAGGTGGGATTCGGGAAATCGGGGAATTTCGGGGAATTTCGGGGAATTTTTGGGAGAAAATTTGAGGGAAAAAATTTGGGATTTTTGGAGGAAAATTTCCCGGGGTTTCAGGAAAGATTTTCCCCGGAATTTTTTGGGGTGACTTCCCGGGATTCCGGGGAGGATTTTTCCCGGGATTTCTGGGTCGATTTCCCGGATTTGGGCTGAAAAGGGGAAATTTGGAAGGTTTGGGGGGCGAGTTTTGAGATCTGCGGCTGCATAAGCCGAAATTTTGGGGGGGATTTGGGGAGGAAAATGGGAATTTTGGGGGGTTTTTTGGGGGGGTTTTGGGGGGTCTCCGAGGTCGGGAATTTGGGGGATTGGGTGAATTTGGGGGATTTTTTGGGAATTGCAGCAAGCCCTGGTGATCCGGGAAGGGGAGAAGATGCAGGTGAACGCCGAGGAGGTCGTGGTTGGGGACCTGGTGGAGGTGAAGGGCGGCGACCGAGTCCCGGCCGACCTCAGGATCATCTCGGCCCACGGCTGCAAGGTGAGCCCTGAAATCCCGGGAAACAGCCCCAAAAATCCCGGGAAATCTCCCAAAAAATCCTGGGAAAACCATCCCTGGAATACTGGGGAATTGCCCCAAAAATCCCGGGAAAAATCCTCCTTGGAATCCCAAGAAAATCACCCCAAAAGTCCCCGGAAAATCATCCCTGAAATCCCGGGAAGTCACCCCAAAAATCCCGGGAA